TGCGCCACCTGGTGGCTATTGCAAAAAGCACAGACATGTTTTTGTTTTCTTTTTTATAAAAAGGCGGCTTTTACATCCGCAGTATTGCGCGTGGCTGCGGTTGACAAATTGCAGTATTACACGTGCAGAAACGAGCATTCTCAGTAGTCAAATTTGTATAGCAATGAAGTAATGGCATACTGTATATAATGACACAAAGCAGTTTATCATGCTCCACCACTGCTTCTTGTAAATAACCTATTTCTGAAAAAGCAACACAATTGCTAAGCTACTGAAAAATAAAGTAAGTCACTACTACTGGTTATCTACTAGCCAGCTCTGCACGGGGTATTAGATATTTATACAGCTTCAGAAGCAAAGAATATGTTCATCTGTGACCTCGTCCAGAAGGCTGTGAGGTCCTGAGGGACAAACCGAGACTGATGGCCAGAGGGATCTGGAGATCCAGCAGTGCTGATAGAGGAGAATGACCCACACCTCTCTCTCTCCTTCACTGCTGAAAACACAGGTCAGTCCACTGACTCTCTCATATATTAGCACAAAGCCAAAATGACCTCTCATGTGAGCTCACACATGCTCTCTTTTTAGACTGCTTTTAAATGAACAACTGCAGTTTGTTGCACCCACATGCACAAATATATTCATCCGCTCATATAATGTACAGTTTTATAAACTCATAAAAAATCTGCTGTACTATTTATATTCTTCTTTCAGCTACAGTAAATTTTTTTAACTCATTCTGTAGTGTCAATCTTTATTTATTTATTTAATTATTTATTTATTTATTTATTTATTTATTTATTTATTTATTTATTTATTTATTTGTTTGTTTGTCTGTCTGTCTGTCTGTCTGTCTGTCTGTCTGTCTGTCTGTCTGTCTGTCTGTCTGTCTGTCTGTCTGTCTGTCTGTCTGTCTGTTTGTTTGTTTCAACATACAGGGTTCATTCTGAAAATGTAGCCCTATATACATTTCTGGAGATCGTGAATCATGTAGCCAGAAGTACGTATGATTGCAATTTGTCTTTAACATGAACGCTACGAGGCAGTATGACGCCTTTCCTATTCAAGCTACCAGCTGACCGCTTACCTTTCCATGGACGACTTTCCCACTGTTACCAGTTTGTTCAGTAGCTGGCTGTGTTTGTCGGTGGACTTGAATCGCAGAGAGGTGTTAACATGGATGATGGGGATCGAGTCCGGTGAAGAACGGTTTCAAAAAGTAGGTAGAACAAAAGGCAAAAAATAAACACCTAGACACCTAATACAACCCAGGAGGTGCGTTTTTTGCAGTTTTTTGGTTTTTTTTTTCCAAATCCACCAAAGGCCGCTGTTTATGCTTTTTAAGATCTCAAATTTTTCTTGCGAGTGCCATTCAGGCCTGTTTTCACTGTAAATTCAATGAAAAAAAAAAAAAGATTGTTTAATTTTTTTGTCCATATACTTAAAATATACTTACTAATTAAGTTTTATTTTATTTGTTTTTCAGTTAAAGTTTTAAATAATATGGTTAAACATGCAATTAGATTATTTTTCAGTTAGCTATAATTTTAGTTCTATTATATAATAAATGTTGTTTTATTATATTTATTATGTAATTGTATATGTAAATAACTATTTTATTTATATTGCATTTATAATAATCATTCATTCATTCATTTTCTTTTCGGCTTAGCCCCTTTATTAATCAGGGGTCGCCAAATCGGAATGAACTGCCAACTTTTACATGTCTTTCACAAACAACTCGTGTTTTACGCAGCGGATGCACTTCCAGCTGCAAGCCAGCACTGGTAAACACCCATACACACTTGCACACACTCACATACACTTTGGCCATCATAGTTTATTCAATTCACCTGAACCGCATGTCTTTGGACTGTGGGGGAAACCGGAGCATCTGGAGGAAACCCACACGAACACACAAACTCCACACAGAAACGCCAACTGACCCAGCCAGGGTTTAAACCAGCGACCTTCTTGCTGTGAGGAGCACCGTGCTGCCATTTATACTAATACTTATACTAATACTAATACTAATACTAATACTAATAATGATAATAATAATAATAATAATAATAATAATAATAATAATAAATTCTGTAATAATAATTTATTCAATCACCAGTATTATATCATAATTTATATAGATAGTTATATATTATTTACAATTTTTATTATTTATTTTGCATTAATAATATCAGGAATTCGTTAAGCTATTTTACAGTATAAACACGCAATCAGCCATTATTAGTAAAGAATAATTAATTTCTCCTTGTGTCTATTCTCTCCTTTTTCATAACCTTCGGTTGTCTTTCTCTGGATTACATCAGACTCTCTGTGCCTCTACAACCCAATCCTGCAGCCTCGCTTCTGAAGAAAATACAAAATGTGCACAGGAGCCATTTTTGTCATTACATGAACTATAGTCAAAGAGGGCCATGAAAGTCATAACATGGAAAACCTCCCCTGATGCCGCTCTCCCTACTTTCTGCTGGGGTCTTTTGTCTCGCATGTCAAAGAAGACAAAAAAGAAAAATGGCTGCCAGCCTTCGCCCTCTTGCCTTCATAACTAAAGAGCGTACAGTATGACCGAAGGGACACATTTAAAGCTCCTTCATCACCCAAACTACACTCTCTTGTCTCAAAACCTTTAGGTAATAGAGAAGAGATGGAGCGGAGGACAATGAAGTCACATCCCTTACAGATAACAGCTATTATTTCAAAATACATCTAATTTTCACAATTGGCCCCAGGAGATACATGTTGATATCAGATATAAATGGTAATGTGTCAGTGGTGATTGTGTGTAAATGGGTCACCCTGAACATCCTCATATTGAACACACACATATAATAATAGTAGCAATTCTTGCTCTAGTAAAATCACATTTAATTACAGGGAAAGTAACACATTGAATTAAACTAACTTTTGATGTAGAAAGACTAATTCTACCAAGTAAATAACTTACTGAAAATAAATATTATCTGCTACTGTATAACAACACACACTTTACTATTTTGCACATCCCCATAGTATTTCAGTACCTTTTGTTCACATTCTTATGGAACTCCATAAAACAAAAACAAAACAGGTAATTGTGACTTTTGAAAAGAAAAGAAAAAAAAGAAAAACTGCATTGAAAACATGTGATGGGTGTAAGTCATATTATGAATGTAATTTGAGTAATAATTTGATTTAAAACTGCATACAGTAAGTAACAAATAAATATTCAAGAAATAAGTATTTAAAAATTTACCCATTTTTTAAAATATTTAATAGATGCCGCCTTGATGAACAGAATAATTTTAATAATTTTTTTAAATAAAATTAAACACAAAAAAATAAACTGATCCCAAACTTTTGACCGGTAGTGTAGATCAGTGGGTGATCTTAATAAAAATTATTTAATATGTTTGTTGAATATAATAGACATTTGTTGATTAGTGGGGCTTTTGTTAAAACCTCTTCTTTGTTGGTCGCAAATCTTTTTAAATGCAGAAAGGACAGCCCATTTATTAGCCTTACCCTGAAGTTTGTTCACCCTGAAGTTTGTTCATAAATCTGAATTCTTAATTTAAATCAATTTACAATTATGCAATATAGAGTTTAGATCTCAAAAAATCCAGTTTATCTTTGTAATTCTAAATTTATGTTTAGATTAGATCTCAAATTCTTTTAATTCAAGAATTGACCATTCTAAAAAGTTACTATTCCTAGTTTTTTTCATGCAATTTGCAGTTTATATATCAGTATTCAGAGTATATTTGCAATTCTAAACGTATTTATCAAAATTTTGCTCCAGTTTAGTTTAGTTTTATAGCTAAAAATTCAGAATTTATATCTCACGATTTAGGGATTATACTGTATCTCACAATTCAAAAATTATATCTCACGATTTAGAATTTAACTCTTGCAATTGTTGGTTTATTTAGTATCCTCTGTTTTTTTTTCTGTTTTTTCCTCAAGATCACAACTTTACACAATTTCAAGTTTATCTCACAGTTCTGATTTAATTTCCTAACAATTCTGAGTAGTAAAATCTGAATTGCAACAAGTAAACTCACAAGTTTGAGAAAACAAGTTGCAGTTACTTTTTTATTGTGCTGGAAATATTTATTACTCACTACTATGAGTCTGTAACTTTTCCAAAAGACCTCAAGAGTTAGTACCAACAAAATTCAAGTGGTACACTTTCTCGGATATCATATGTACTATAATGTGAACTTAAAAATTTACTGCTCCAGGGACAAATCTTAATTTATGAGAGAGTCTAGTATGTGTGTTTGTGTGTGTGTGTGTGTGTGTGTGTGTGTGTGTGTGTGTGTATGTGTGTGTGTGTGTGTGTGTGTGTGTGTGTGTGTGTGTGTGTGTGTGTGTGTGTGTGTGTGTATATATATATATATATATATATATATATATTACTGTGACTTCTTATGTCTTGTGTATTCTTCTGCTTTAGTCATATTATGTTTGTAAATTTCATTCATTCATTCACTTTCCTTCAGCTTAGTCCTTTATTTATCAGGCATCGCCACTGTGGAAAGAACCACCATTTATTCCGGCATTTATTTTACGCAGCGAATGCCCTTCCAACTGCAACCTATTTCTGGAAAACACCCATACACTCTCACATTCACACACACACACACACACACACACACACACACACACACACACACACACACACACACACACACACACACACACACACTCATACATTAAAGTCAATTTTGTTTACTCAATTCACTTGTACTACATGTCTTTGGGCTGTGGGGGAAACCAGAGCACCCAGAGAAAACATACACGAGAGAACATGCAAACAACTACACAGAAATGCCAATTGACCCAGCCGGGACTCAAACCAGCAATTTTCTTGCTGTGAGGCGACTGTACTGAGCCACTGTGCCACCGTTTGTACAACTTAATACTTGTTTTGAATTCTCCATTTATTTATCTTATAAAAATGCAAGTAAGAAATGCAGAATTATATGAAGAGCTCTTACCCTCCACACAAGATGGCTGTGCACGTGTGGTACCGGCCACCTGACCAGGGAAACATGAGCACTTGACGGTCTGTGAACGCTCCTCAATCTTGTTCTTATTGCAGCAGCGGTGGATGGCAACCACCTCACAGGTACCCTGCTTTACCTGGTATGAAGCTGCAAAAAAAGAGATTGGAAAAACTCAGTTAATAAATATTAGATGAAAAACATTATGGCTTCCAATTCAGAGAATATATTTCACAGTTCCAAATGTGTAATGTATTGTAAGTTTATCTCTCAAATCCTGACATAAAATAAAAAAAAAATCTGAGTTTAAATCTTTAAATTCAGATTTTAAATCAGTATCTAAAAAAGCAGCTTATATTTGCCATTAAATTTTTATCATTTTTAGTTTATTTTTACAATTTATATTTCTAAAATATACATTTATATGCATATATATATATATATATATGTGTGTGTGTGTGTGTGTGTGTGTGTGTGTGTGTGTGTGTGTGTGTGTGTTACGAGATTATATTTAAAAATTACATTTGCAACTCTGACTTTTCATTTGAAATTCAATTTACATTTGCAATTCAGAGTTTATACCCCAAAATACAATTCAGTAGAGTATATGTTGCAAAATTCTGAGCTTATATATAAAATTATATTATTTTGAGTTTACATCTTAAAAAATGTTTATATTTGGCAAAAGTACAACGTTTATATGTAATAATTTAGAGTTCATATTTCACAATTCAGAAAATAAATAAATTAAATAAAAATCACTTCTTTAGTAAATTACTCTTTTGGATATGTGTCTCTCAAATCCTAAAAGCACATATATAGGTTAAATAGAATTCTTTAAAAAATATTATTATTATTATTATTGTTATTATTATTATTATTATTATTATTATTATTATTATTATTATTATTATTATTATTTATTAGTATATTATTATTATTTATTATATTATTATTACTAGTAGTAGTAGTATTTTATTAGCATTATTTTGCCCAGACGAAAAAAAAAAAGAAAAACAGCACATGTTGCTTTCTATTTCCCGGCTAGAGAAATGACAACATTAGCATGTACAGTTGAAATCAGAATTATTAGCCCTCCCTTTGATTTTGTTTTTCTTTTTTAAATATTTCCCAAATTATGTTTAACAGAGCAAGGGAATTTTCACAGTATGTCTGATAATATTTTTTATCTGTTGGAGAAAGTATTATTTGTTTTATTTCAGCTAGAATAAAAGCATAAAAGAATAAATAAAAGAATAAAAGTTTTTAAATTTTTAAGCCCCTTCAGGCTATTTTTTTTTCCGATAGTCTACTAACCAAACCATTGTTGTACAATAACTGGTCTAATTACCTTAACCTGCCTAGTTAACCAAATAAACGTAGTTAAGCCTTTAAATGTCACTTTAAGCTGTATAGAAGTGTCTTGAAAAACATCTAGTCAAATATTTACTGTCATCATGACAAAGATAAAATAAATCAGTTATTAGAGATGAGTTATTAAAACTATTATGTTTAGAAATGTGTTGAAACAATCTTCTCTCCGTTAAACAGAAATCAAGGACAAAAAATAAACAGTAGCGCTAATAATTCAGGGAGGCTAAAAATTCTGAGTTTAACTGTAAGTCTGTTCTTTCAGCTATAGCAACTCAAAAGAGCGAGAGATCTAAAGATGAAAAGAAAACTTGATTTGTTTATATAGATGTAAATAAACAGTTATTTAAAGATTTTTCTCTTTAATTTAATCCTATTCATTAATAAGTAAGCTAATAAAAGAAGAAGCTT